GCTGCTGTTCCCACCACGTGTCACCGATTAGAGCTGGGCCTGGCCGGGGGCCAGGCTGGTGCTTGATACACTCTAAATCCAGAGTGGTCTAAGAGAGATGTTTATTAGCTGGAGTGTGGCTGATCTGTTTGATAAACTCCGTGGCATATTGTTCCTCTTAGTGCGCTCTGTTGGTGTTTGTGTGTGAACGGGAGCGAAGGTGTTGGACTGCGGTAGTTCAGGAGTTACAATCCCTCCCACAGGAGGCAAATGCATTGTGTGCTCAGGGCTTTCTGTCTGCTCCACTGGCCTAATCATCTGCAAGTGGTCAGGTCACTGTCTTGGAAAAGTGTTGGTGTTCTTCCCCCAGAGGCTGGTTGGGCACTGAACAGGCTCCCCAGGGCAGTAGGCACAGCCCCAAGGCTGCCAGAGCTCCAGAATGGTTTGGACAACACTCTGAGGGACAGGATGGGAATATTGGTGTGTCTGTGCAGGACCAGGAGTTGGACTGGATGGTCCTTGTGGGTCCCTCCCAACTGAGGATATTCTGTGAGCTAATGGAAGGAGCAGGAGGTCTCCCTGTGAAGGCACAGGACACTCTCTCACCTTTCCCTGTCGTTGGTCCTGGAAGTGCCGGTGTATCGTAACGCTGTCTGCATCTGCCAGGTGATGCTATGGAAATCTTGCCTTAGTCCTAATCAAATTATTAATCTGAGAGATCTCAGTGCTCACCCACCCGCTGCATACACTGCTGGTTCCAGGAGGCAGCTTGAAATTAAACGTTCTTTAACGTTTCACTTAAAACCAAAGTGGGAACCAGTGTGAAGAAGCTGAAGGACAGAAACCCCATGGGTGTAAACAGCTCAGAGCAGTAATGTGACAGCTACTCTAGGAACTGGGAGATGTTTAAGATATAATTACTGTATATTAACAAGATGAGATCTGCACAAAGAGCCTGATGAGCCTGCCAGAGAAATAAACCACAAAGTACTGGCTGGCCTGATTTATTTTTTTTTCCACCGTCATGTTTTAAATGTTCATGCATACTGATTAAAATTTAGGTTGGGGTCTGCAGAGCTCTTGCCAAGTTTTGTCACTCAGGGCTTTTTAGATGCTGTAGATTTAACCCTCTGTCTGCCCTTTTTGTGGCCAACTTCCCAGATACCAAGGGCAGATAATATTCTGCCATGTCCAGCTGAACTGATGCATTCAGACTTCCTGAGGAAAAAGCCTCTTGAGTGCTTCTAAAATATTTATTTATCCAGGAGTCATCTTACTGAATTTACTCTTTGCTAAAACAGGCAGGGCTGTGTTGGCCTGGCATGAGATAATATGTTTGACTTCACTCTTTCATTCCTATGGAATGATATTTGAGATGCACGGGGTTTTTTTTTTTCGTTTTTTCTAGAATATCAGGGGAAAATAATTTCGAGTGGAGAGAGAATTTTGCTGAACATCTGGGAGCAAAATGGGAAAAGTTTGATAAATGGCATCTTGCTGACATGTAATAGCAACTAGCTCAGTGAAGGAATCTAGGGCATTGCAAATAAAAGGATTTTCCTTAACTCTAGTTCAGCTGGAAATGTGGCTCCGTGCGTACACTTGACAGTAACAGATTATTCCGATTGTCAGATTTGAAAAAGCGAGAAAATTCAGACTTAAGTCATGCAGTAATCCTAATTTCAGGAGCAGCCGTGTCTGTATATAAGAGACAGACATTTTTTGATGACTTAAGTCAGGAGAGGAGATTCTTGGTCAACATTTCTATTCTATTCAGAGGTTGGCTGTACTATATCAAATATATATGGAAATATTTCATACACTGAGCACGGCATTGTCAGGTTATCCTGATAACTGCATAAGTTTAAATTCTTTCAGGTGTCCAGCTGTTCTTCATTGTCGTCATTTTGTGTTTGAGATACATCAAGTTTGAAACTTGCACATTATTTTGATTTTATCCATCGCACAGGGATATCTTTATCCATGAGCTTAAGCACTCTCAAATGAGCCAGAATCTCCTCAGACACACAAGTTTAAACTGGAAGCAACTCAAAGCAGTCAGACTTTACAAACAGAAATCAAAACTGTGACTTAAGAAAAAAAACCCAAGCATACCCAAGATATTTTCCAGAGAACAGGCTTGAGCTCAATAGAGTTTTTCCCTTGTATTGCTCTACCAGTCTGATGTCAAATGACATTTTTTTCTTCATTTACTGTAATTGTCCCTGAAATGTAACAGTGAAACAACCCATTAGCAAAACGCTGAGCTGTCAGGAGCAATCACTGGTGGCGGATCCGAACGGGCGCTTTCCCCGCTCCGAAGGTGCTCCTTGCTGTTTCCTGGGGAGGTTCTTTGTGAAGCATCCAACACTTCCAGGGCAGTGTTGTAGTTGTGAAGATCCGACCACTGCAAGTCAGCCACAGCAAACAGGGCACAAGAAATTCCCTGTCAGCTGCCTACCTAAAAATGACCGAAGAGCTGCCCAGAGCTGTGGCACAGTGCTCAGGCAAAGCAAAAGATGTATGAACCTTCTCTCTTTCTTTTTTTCTTTCCTTTTTTCTTTCTTTTTTTCTTTCTTTTTTTCTTTCTTCTTTTCTTTCTTTTTTTCTTTCTTTTTTCCTTTCTTTTTTTCCTTTCTTTTTTCTTTCTTTCTTTCTTTCTTTCTTTCTTTCTTTCTTTCTTTCTCTCTTTCTTTTTCTTTCTTTCTTTCTTACTCTCTTTCTCTCTTTCTTTCTCTCTTTCCTCTCTTTCCTTCTTTCTCTCTTTCTCTCTTCTTTTCTTTCTCTTCTTCTCCCTTTCTTTCTCTCTTTCTTTATTTTCTTCTTTCCTTCTTCCTTTCTTTCCTTGCTTTCTTTCTCTCTCTCTTTCTCCCTTTCTTTCATTCTCCTCTTTCCTGTGAGAAATTCTTGGCTGAGCAGCCTGAGTTTGCTTCAGGAATATCAGTGATAAAATTGGAAGGCTTTGAGAGTTTGTAGGGGAGTTGGGTTGGGTGCTCCCTTCCAGACTGAGGTTTACTGGGAGCAAACCAGTGACAGGACAAGAGGAATTGGCCTTAAGTTGTGCCAGGAGATGTTCAGGCTGGACATCAGGAAGAATTTCTTCATGGAAGGGGTGGTCAGGCACTGGAAGGGGCTGCCCAGGGAGGTGGTGGAGTCCCCATCCCTGGAGGTGTGGGACTGGGTGACAAGGTGGGGATCAGTCACAGGTTGGACTTGATGGTCTGGGAGATCTTTCCCAACCTAAATGATTCTGGGATTCAAACCACCAGCCGTGCAGATGGAGGCAAAATAATTTAGTGAATTAAATTTAAACCAGTAATTAAATTCTGCATTGGTGTTTTAAATTTCCATGGCTTTATATGGCCCCACAGACTGAGAACGTTGTGGGCTGTGTTAGGATGATCCACAGGTATCCATGAGTATCCCATCCCTGCTGCTCTTGCAACACATAGGAGTAACAGCAGAGATTCCCAATTGTTATATGGTCATTACTTCAAGGTAGTAGGTGGGAAAAGTGGTTCCATGTGCCTGGAAATGAAGCATCTTTCCCTTGATGTCCACCTGGAGGGCTCTGAATGGTCCCTGTCTGTTCCCCTGGGAATGCAGCCCAAGTAAATAGCAAGACCAGTAATGTGGCACTGTCACAATGAATATGTTTGTTAATTGTGTCTTTTGTAGCATAAAATGTTAAGTCAGCTTGCTGGAATAACACAGATTTTATCATGTAGTCATTTATCATATAATCACCTAAAATCTGTCTGCAGTTTGGCTACACTGAGCTTACTGTCAGTCTGACTCCTTGGAATTATGATTTGTTACGGTGCTTTTCCTACATATTCACTATAATTGGGATCCTACCCCAAAACCTCAGACATAACGTCAGTAGAAAATACTCTTTGTATAAACACATCCTACACTTTCTGTAAGTAAATCTCTGCTTATTATTTGTGTTGTTATTTTGCACACGTAAAGCTGAACGGCTTTAGAGTTGCCTGGATGGATTCAGCTTTTCCAGTAATATTCTTATCCAAAAAAATCCTCCAGGAGCCTGCAGGAATTCCAAGCAGATAGCAAGTCCTGAATTTTCCCATAGGCCACGTTTGAAGTCAAATTAGGTTGTGACATTAAATGACACCATATGGTGTGTTCACTCCCTACTGCTCCAACTGGAGGCTCAGTGCAGTTTCAGTAGGGTTTTACAAGGGTTGATTGATTTTGGGGTGGGTTATAGGTTCTTGGAAGTTACATGATCTTGGAAAAAAACTTGCTGTTTGTCTTTTAAAGACCAGGAGAGGAATATTTGGAAGGGCTGTTTGTGTTAATGTAAAACTGAGGGGCTCAGCCTGGAGAAAAGGAGGCTCGAGGGGACCTTCTTGCTTTCTCCAGCTCCCTGAGGAGGTTGGAGCCAGGTGGGGATTGTTTTTTCTCCCACGTAAGAAGTGACAGGACCAGGGGAAATGGCCTCAAGTTGTGCTAAGGGAGGTTTTGATTGGATATTAGGAAATTTTCTTCACTGAAAGTGTGGTCAGGCATTGCAAGGGGCTGCCCAGGGATGTGGTGGGGTCACCATTCCTGGAAACGTTCCAAAAATGTGTGGATGTGGCACTTGTGGATCTGGCTTAATGGTGGTGGTGCTGGGTTTATGGTTGGGCTGGATGATCTTTTCCCAGTGTAACAATTCCATGGTTCCATTATGTGTGTGTGTATAATTGTGTACATCTAAAAGCTGTGCCAGACCTGCCAGGAGCAGGACCTGGAATCAAACTCTACTTCGAGCCATGAACTCCTGGGGTCCTGTGCAAACTCCTTTTGTCCTCCAGGTGATTTTCTCTCTCAGGGGCTGCCAAAAGCATCAATGCAAACTATCAAAGCTCCGAATTTGTGTCGTGTCCCTGAACCTTCAAAAATAGAGATTAAAGCACCTGCAGAGGCAGACAGGACATTCCACACGTGGCACGTTTTCCGGGATCCTTTCATTTTGATTGTTCCTTTCTTTTTTTTTTTTTTTTTTTTAATTACAGTTCTTTGAGGTCCCGTTTGACTCAAACATGAACAGGACAAAGAACAGGCCGCTGGTGCGAGGACAGATCAGGTAAGGCACTGCACACCTGCTCTGGCTGAGAGAGAGGAGCTTCACGCTGCTTTTATCTATTTCCAACTTTCCCTCCCACTTCAGGTGACGAAAAATAGCACTTTTAAGACAAAAGACACAAGGAAGAAACGCATCTCTCTGTTCTTTGCTATTTCTTTGTGTTTATAACTTTCATCTGAGGAGTCTGGGCAATCAGCTGTCCTGGAAAACAGTGAATTTCTCAAGGCAGCTGAATTTCCCCTCGTGTTACGTATTTCTCCATGTGCCACGAGATGACTGTGTGCATGGTGTGGTAGCACACAGTTATGTTCCACTGAACTTCTGTTTTGTAGCAATAAATCTTCAAAATTTCCCGTCTAAGAACAAACACAAAAATGTGTGTTGTTCTTAATAGTCACATTTATCTCTTGGATCGCAGATATTTGTTTGAAACTCCCAGCAGAGGTATCTACAAATCATTTTCTTTAGTGGCTTCCAAAGGCCCTGTGTTGTCTTTGCCTTTTCAGCTGGGTGAAAACTCAAAATCGTGGCATCTCGTGGAATTAATGTAAAAATTTGTCATCATTAAACTTATCATAGTCCATAAGTAAATCCCTCCCACGCCAAAAAGCAAAGAGATTTCCTTTAAAAAAATAAACCCGCTTCATTCCCCCTGTTTTCTGGATTATGTGTCGGTTCAGTCTCTCAAAGGCTGTTTGCCAGCTAAAAAAGCAAAGTGAAAAAGAACATCAAGCAAAAAAAAAAACCCCTCTAACTTATTTGCAAACTGAAACTGAAGGCCCAATTCATAAATGATTCAACAAACAATTTTAGTATTGCGTTTCCATGATTTGTGCCAAGGATTATTTATAACAAAATTATGTTTTCCCTTAGGCTTCGGCGAACAGTTGGTCCTATTTATTTCTGTGTTTTATCCATCACCTTTGGAGGACTGAAAAAAACATGATAGATGAAATTACAAGAAAATTGAGACAAAATAGTAAAGTGAACCTTGGGGGTAAATTCGCTCTCATGGTAAATAGTTAGAGCACTTCAATAAACTTGTTCTGATTTGTTCTCGGAGATGGTGCTAATTACAGATTCCTGAGTTGAGTTAATTTTATTTAAAAACATATTTTAGGGACCACTGCAGTGAGGGCATCTGTTGTACATACAGTAAGTCAGGCTTAATTGTGCAGTTCAGGGGAGCTGCACTTCTGCTCCTTTCCATGTGGTCCTTTAGCCCTGGGAGAAGGAACACTTGTTAGGAAGAAAGATGATGGGGGATTGGGGTTTTTTATTATTGTGGGTTTTTTTTTTTTTTTTAGTTTTATCATAGTCTACTTGCATGGCTTGCAGTGCTTCTGGAGTCAAAAATATAACTAGGAAACTTTCTGTCAACTTTTGATACAGAGAAAGCCATTTATTTTATGTTTCCAGTGTCCTGAAGTGAACTCCGCTGCCATCTGAACGCACCACAGATTGGCAAACCCATATTTCATGGATTTTCTTGCTTCTCCCTCCCCTTCATATTTGCTTTCACCACAAAATGGTAATGTTGGGGACTTTGTGTAATCACTCCTCAATCTATCTACCTGGCTGTCAACAGCTAATTTAAAGTTCTTTAAAGTGTCACTTCCCTTGAATAATGCTGCCCTCGCTCCCTGCAGGCCCTGGAACACGCAGGCCTTGACTGGGGTTATTCCTTCTGCCAGAGGAGAATAATCCAGTGCAAGTGATCTAACCTTGTTACGTTTTGCCACATATTCCCTGGTGTTCCTTGAACTCCTTCCTTCCTGGCTGATTAAATAAAGCCCGTAAATGGCTGTGCTAAAACCAGGCAAAACCAGACGAGACAGGGATGGATAAACAGTACGTAAGAGACTGGTGTCTTGGCTCTGGGAAGGGATCCAGAGAGCTTGGGGTATGCACGGAGTTCTTGCCCAAAATTTGCCTGACATTTGAGTTTTGACATTTTCTTCTCTTTAGCTGCTTCATTTCATTAAATATTTGATGATTTTTTTTTTTATTTCTGCTGCATTACAACATCTGTGCTGTCCAGTGCAAACGAGGCATCATCTTCTGATCCGTCTTCATTTGCGCTGTTTGTAAACACATTCTCATTTCCCTTTTTTTTTTTTTCTGCCTTTCCTTGCTTTCTGTTTATTTGGCACAGTCCTTGTTACAGAACTGGTCAGTGTGGGTAGCAGTTTTTGTCCTGAGCTTGAGATCCCTTTTGAAGAGAAGGAAGGCTGTTAACTCTCCGTGATGTTGGCTCTGCAGCTCCTTGGAAAGGCTTTTGGGGGTGGCTTTGATGTGAATCTTGCCCACTGAGAAACTGCAGTGAGGCCAGGGAGAGTTTTTATAGGGGTTGTGCCATCACATAGAGGATTCTTAGACGCTTTGAGCTTAGGCCAGAATCAAACTGGTAACCCCCAGTGAGAGGTCCTTGGAGTTACTGAGTCATCCAGTCCTGGGATGAGCTGGAGTCTCCATTTTAAATAAGCTAGTTCATGGAGCTGGCTTGTTAGGAAATGTTTTGCATTTGCAGAGAATTTATTCCCATGTGTTTCCCTTTGTGGCCTTCATTTGCAGCCTCATCCCCAAGTTTGTTTAGGTTTAACACCAGCTGTCAGTTCAAACTGACCTTGTTGCCAGTGTTTCTTCCCTTCCTTTCTTCCTGAAGCCTTCAGTGTGAGAAAGGCACCACAAGCCCCTGTCTCGGGGGGTTCATTTCCCTGCATGCACATTCACGTGGTTCCCAGATCCCCACGTCAGCCTTTTGTGTGAGTTACTGAGGACTTGCAGCTTCCTTTGGGATCAGAGAGGAACCTCGGGAGCTTTTAAAGAAAAGCTCTGTGGCCAGGGCTGCGCTGTGGGGTGTGGATGTCACCATGGCCTCAGAAGTCTGGCTGGGGATAGTGTCGTGGTGACACTCAAGAAGTGTCTCAGTTGAGCAATTGTCCTCCAGCCTTAGTGGAGCATCAGCTTGATGGCTGAAACACTCATTTAGAGGCTCAGTGTGCCCCTGCTCTATATTTTATATCCTTTAGCCTGGACAATCCATGCAGGCACTGACACAACTCTCCAGAGCTGAGGCTGCTGAATGTAGGGACTAGAGTATATTTACCTTCTTTGCCAGCCCCAAACCCACCTCTGGTGCCCCCAGGGAATCTTCTGACACTCTTGGTAGATTTGTGACAAACAGCACCTGATAGTTCATTGACTGCTTGCTTTACAATGTCCTATTTAATTTGTAAGGCTCTGAAAAAATGTTCCCTTTGAGCAATGAGACGTAACCATCCTTATTCTCTATTCAGAGGGTAATCAGAGACATCCTGTTGCAAAAATAACAAGAGTAGACCCAAACACAGCACGCCACTGAGCACCATCCATCATCCCTGCCTGCCCACATCTCCTCCTCCCTCCTCTGACCCCTCAAGTCTTGTTTGGAAATACAAACAGCTTGAGATGTTCTTCATACTTGGGCTGCAGTGTTAAAGTCATTGAGTGTATTTGTGTTCTGCATTATAACAACAGCTGATATTGGTTTTCCTGCTCTGAATCGGTTTTGTGTCATTGACAACGAAAAATTTCATGTGCTCACACAACCTCAGATTCGACTGCAATGGCAGCAGCTTTTCCTGGTTTCCTGTTGGGTGTGATTTATTCCCTTGCTTTTTAAGGTAATGGATTTAATTTTCCTGCAGATTAATTTAAATAAATCTCCAGTATGAGCTGCAGTAGCTGAGGGAGCTTAACCTGGAGGATGACAAGTGTCCTGCTTCATTATGTTGTACAGAGTGACAGTTTTGATTGCCCAGAACTGCACTGTGAAACTCCTGTGAAAAAGTGGCTGTTTTATGAACTTCGGGTGCTGCTGGATCTGCTGTGTTAATCACTCATAAAAATCTTCAGAGCTGTGCAGGAACAGCTTTTCATCTCAAAGATATTGAGCCCTCAAACAGCACGTTCTAAATAACCAGTTCATGGCCCTGTGGACGCTGTTCAGTTCTGCTCCTGTGGTATTTTGCACCTTTCAAATATTTTCTGGGCCTTCTCCCTCACTTCACCTCCAGGTTTCTTGTCACCTGGACCATGCAGGGAGCCTTAGGAGTGGCCCAGGCTGGAAGGGATCTCAGGATAGCTGTGGACTGATCTCCTGCTCACAGCCAGGGTTGACTCCAGGTCTTGTCTCAAAACCCTTCAATAGAATGGCTTTAAACTGGAAAAGAGTAGGTTTAAATTAGATATTAGGAAGAAATCCTTCCCTGTGAGGGTGGGGAGGCCCTGGCACAGGTGGCCCAGAGAAGCTGTGGCTGCCCCTGGATCCCTGGAAGTGTCCAAGGCCTGGTTGGATGGGGCTTGAAACAACTTGGGATACTGGAAGGTGTCCCTGCTCATGGCAGGGGCTTGGAACAAGAGAAGCTTTACAGTCCCTTCCAAAACAAACCATTCTGGAATTCTATGATAAAAATAACTTGCTATGGAATTTAATTATAGTCTCATTATGCAGAATATTTACACTCAAGCTTGCTTTTCCATGTGCATTTAAGTCCATTAACATGGCAGAAGAAGGCACAACAGAGATAATGCCTTGGATGACTCAACAGAAGTAAATCTCTGTGTTGTTTGGTGAATGTTTTTTCCTAGCATCCCATTAACCTCCTCCCTTGGCAGCGCCCAAGGAGCTGTGTTCTGTCAATGAATTTCCCACTCATGACCACAGTTGATGGTTATTGCAGTTAATGGAGGCAGTAACGCTGCTCCTACTTGTTGACATTTCTGAGTGGAGCTTTGATTTGGCTCAGTTTAACCTATAAGCCAAACTCTTGAAGAATCAGACCAAAAAGAGTTCCTGTTCTAGCAGTGTTTCTCACCAGTGTCTTATATTTATGAACTGTAGTTATAACTGCAGATATGTAAGTTGGGCATTCATGGATGAATAGAAAACTGCAACATGTCAAACTTTATTTACTCAAAAACGCTTCCTGACTCAAAACTAGTTCTGTGTAAAGCTG